AGTAAAGCGTACTGTCGCATACTTTAAACATTTATATGAAGCTGAACAAGCGATTGCATAAATTTTATAACCAAAATAAACACAACAGGTGCTGTCTCTTTGAAATGTAGAACAATTTAGAAATATTAAAAACTAATTCTCGTTATCATTTCCATGCTGAATATTGTTAACAATGAAATATAATTTTTATTTTAACGAATTTTTCATGTATATCGCGCGCGCTAAATTTAAGAATTGCAATCGATACATATAACATATGACATATATATTCCTGCCACGTGACTAGTCACCTTATCACAAGGCTGACAAGTGTCAGTTTTCAGTCTACAAATAGTATGTATGTACTGCGAATTATAACTTCTTGAAATTATTTGATATTAAAGACAAAATTAGTCTCGATCACGTTCTCGAAAAATGGAACCAGGAATATTAACCAAAGTTTTAAATGATTTTCTAACAACTGTTGATGGAGAACTGAGTTTACATAAAGGAGAATATTTTTTGGTAATTTGTATATGTAAACATACATGTAAAAATTTTCATATAACGCTATCAAATATTAATAGAAAATTATGTTATATTGTCTACGAAATTAAAACAGATATATAGTATTGTTGACAAACACTGGTGTTATGGAGAATCTAGAGGCAGAACAGGAAAATTTCCTTCAAGTCATTTGCATAAAATAGATGTACCGCATCTATGTGATTCAGAATGTTTATTTGTCAGTACTGCCACTTTTCCAGGACAACAGGATGGAGATTTATCTTTTTCTCAAGGTAACTTGTTTGAATGTTTACGATTACAACCTCTGTTACTAGAAAATTTAAGAAGGCAGAACTTCTATAACTCCAAGATTTTAGCTTTTCCCTTCAGATTAGACTTACAGATCTTCAACTGAACAATATGTATTCAGAGGTAACAAACTTATTATAATCATGTTTCATGGAACCAGGTGTACTTATTGTTGGAATACAAGATGTTGGATCAGGATGGTATTTAGGACGAATAGATGATAATAATGGTATATTTCCTTTGACTCATACTTGGCAACTTGATTCCAAGCTGTTGAAGGTATGTGTCTTAAATAAGAATTTACATGTTTGTTGATTATTTATGAAGAGTTAAGAGACTTGTAAAACAGTAATACAATTGGAATTACTTTAGCATCAACCAGATAATTAATACTAATAAATCATTTAATACTTTCAGAAAGCTTCAAAAAAACAAAGTATAAGAAAAAGAGCAAGAATAAAAACTAATTTGAAAGCACAACTTGACGGTGAACTTGATTTAGTAGAAGGTGAAATGGTTACTGTAACGGAAGTTCTTGATGATGGCTGGTGCCATGGAATTACAGATACTGGGAAAGAGGGAATATTTCCAGAAGCATTTGTAACTTATATAAGTGGTGATACTGATCAATTGGATGCAACATCTGTAGTAAATAAGAATTATTTTCCTGCTACAGTAGCACATGATATAAGAGAATACCAAAATCTTGATGATACTGTTACACAGCCTTGTTTCGAAGAACCAGCACCAAACTACTATGACTTATTTCCTCAATACAAGTCAACTGCTTCAAACTCAGAGGAAAGCATAGAGAATAATAGTAGTTTTAATGCACTAGATGTGAGACCTTATGCTATAACATTATATCCATTTAATGCTCAATTTCCAAACGAACTTAGTTTTGAAGCAGGGGAAGTAGTACATCTTATTAAACATATAGACTCTGAATGGATGGAGGGTACACTGGACAATCATAAAGGAATTTTTCCTATATCTTATGTTAATATTATAGTAGACTGCACTGATACTCCCAATGATCAAAACTTTTATGAGCAAGATGTAGGTATACACGGGATAGGCACAGAATACAATGCATTAGAATCTGGTACACAAGCAAACGTAGAATACACCTTTAAAGCTCAAATGGATGGAGATTTGAGTGTCACCGAAGGTGACACAGTTACGGTAATTGATATGGCTAATGCAGATTGGGTAAATGTTAAAAATGTACACGGGAAAATTGGTTTATGTCCAAGGGGTTATTTAAGTGCATTACATACAGAACCTCTAGATATTGAGCAGGATATATTAGAAGACTTCGTTGTAATAAGACATACTGAAGTAACTCCTGAAAAAGCAGAAGAACAAAAATCAAAAAGACTTTCAGAACCCCACAGACCTGCACCACCTGTACCAGCACCTGGCAGTATTCCATTACAAAAAAATATGGTAGAAAATAAAGAACCATCATTCATAAATATTAATCAGGAAATAGATATTGCCACTAATAATAATGTAGACATTGATAGAAAAAGAGCAGATCAAAGGCAAAATGTTATATCAGAACTAGTCATCACAGAAAAGGAATATGTTCGTGATTTAAAGTTAACATATGAAACATTTAACTTGTATAATCCAAGTTCACTCGAATCTTTGGGTATTGATGTTCCTACATTATTTGGTAATATTTTTGAAGTAATTCAAGTTGCAGAAGAATTATTAGATATGATATTAAAAGCTATGAAGGGATGTGATGAAGAACAACAAACAGTTGGCCCCTGTTTCACAAAAATGGCTGAGAAATTAAAAAATGTTTATGTAAAATATTGTGGAAATCATGAAGCAGCATTGATATTGTTGAAGAAGGTAAGTATGAGAGTGGGGGTATATCTATTTTTCATGTATTTTAAATGTAAATTTTATATAATTTCAGTATGAAACTAATGAAGAAATAATGACAGTATTTAACAAAGGCATTGAGACATTACGGTGCCAAGTAGCTTGCTTTGATATGAGCTCTATTCTCATAAAACCTGTGCAAAGAATATTGAAGTATCCCCTTATTTTATATGAATTGGTAAAAGTGAGTATTTTATCTAGAGTATCGATCATATGAAAAATGCATTATATATTTGTGTATATATAATCGATACATTCTAAACTTCTTTGAAACCACGTAGCTGTTTTTCAGTGCACCGACGACAACCATCCTGATAAACCCACGGTCGAAGAAGCATGGAAGGGTATGACGGCTGTTGCGAGTCACATTAATGAATATAAACGTCGAAAAGATTTGGTGTCTAAATATTTAGACAATGAAAATACCTTAATCAGGAAGATGGCCAAACTTAACATGCACTCTGTAGCAAAAATGTCTACTAGATTGAGTACAAGATTATCTGCAAGTTTAGGATTAACGAATGTTGCTGTTGATCCAGAGTTTGAGGAAATCGAACGACAATTCAGATCAGTAGAAAAGTGTACATTACAACTGACTAAAGATGTAGAACAATGTTTTACACATCTAAGCGATGAAGCTATTTCTGGAGAAGTAATATCAGATTTTCTGATTCAATACTATCAAGGAACACCAAACACTGAAGCGAGAAGACTTAGAGAAATAAGATCAACGATATGGTCGCAATTCATTCAGGAACAGAAAGTATGTTTAAAACGAAGAGTTCTTGCACCAACAAATTTCTTAGCAATATTATTAGAGGGACCCGCAGTATTAATAACAAAAAGGCACGACAAGCTACTCGACTATGATGCAGCCATTTCTAAAAGTGATTGGTACAAGGAGTCAAAAATTGTAATTACCTTATGTTTATCTACTTTTTTATACTCCTCTACTGCTAGAACAAAACTAAAAGATTTTATTTCTTTGTTCAATATTAATATAGGCACAGGACGAACTGACGACAGCAAAAAGTAATTATGAAGCTTTAACGCAACAACTATTGGAAGAATTACCGATTGTGATTGATGCAGCAACGAAAGTACTGGTGAACTGTATTAGCGCGTTTGCGCAATCTAGAAAGCTTTTATGTGGCAAAATTACCAAGCGCTATTTATCTCTATGCGAGGTACTGTAACAAACACAGAATAGTCAATATCATAATTATTTACTGAAATTGTAACTATATTAATTTCTTTTGCATTTATAGAACTCTACTCAACTATCAACTCAAGATATTTTGGAGTCATTTTTAGTGAATCATAGTTTATTGTGGAATCAGGTAACGCGTTTTGCGTTCGCTGGGTCAAATCCAAGAATCGAAGAAGCAGAGTCCACATGGTGTCCACAAAGTGAAAAGCAAAGAAACGTGCTGCGAAATAAATATTCCAGTGATAAATTATATGTAGTTACAGACAATGTAGTAAGTACATCATCTTTGGATATGGGAGCAGCTTGTGGAACTCTAGTAGCAGTGATAAAGAAACAAGACCCAATGGGTGATGCAAGTCGATGGTTCGTCGATAATGGAGTTGCACAAGGATTTTTACCATCTAAGATATTGCAACTTCAACAAATACGACAACTTTCATTATCTAATGAAGCTTGCTCTACCACGGATAATTCAAGCATTGCATTGACGTCAGATTTAATTTGCATGGACTCTCCTATAAAAGAACAAAAATCATCTCAATCTCATCTACAAGAATTATTGGATCTAAATATAGAGGAAAAAGTAAAGAAGGAAGACCATTGTTATGACAATGTTGAACTGATTCCTCGAGTTCAACAGTATCAAAATTTGAACTACGAGGTATGTATATTTATATTGTTTATTTTAAAATTATTATAAGGATCTAATGTATAATCATAAGTTGAAATTTTTTTCTAGTTTTATTATGCAGAATACGATTTTTCTGCCACTATTCCTGGAACATTGGCTATTACTAAGGGACAAGCTCTGAGGCTTGTTAGACCTCATGATGAAAAGGGGAATGATGAATGGTGGCTTATGGAGGATCGCTATGGTAATAAAGGATATGTGCCTAACAATTATTTATGCGATCCATCCACGAAAAAATAATCAAATTGCAAACAGGTCTTGATATCTATTCATCTATTTATTAATTTATTATATTGCAACCACTAGTGCCTGCAATCTAGGGACATGGAAAATTTTTTATTCTGACGAAATAATACTCTAAGCATCTGTTAAAGGTTGAATATTAGTATAGAGAATAATTTTACTTTAAATGTACAAATGTTTTGTTGGTTTCTCTTTTATAAAAATATACTATACTGTTTTTTGCTTATAATACTACTGACAGCCTTGAAAAGTCGAGAAACAGCTGAAATAATGGCCCAATACCCCAACTGGTGTTGTCGAGGGAACCTGTGCGGGGACAATCCAGGTCCAAGTCCAAAGGAATTACGCCCAATAAGTACATATATGAACTCGTTATTAGTGGGCCGCAAACCAACCCTCGAATTAGGTGAATTTTTTTTTTCGACGATAGAGGAACCAGTCTACTAGACCATAACCAGAATGCTTTTTTTAAATTTTGCTATTGCTTAGAATAATAATAGAAAATTAAAAAACTCTCGTTTTTTAACTTTTTTATCTGAGTCTATAACGAAAATTTAAAAAATATGTTTTGTAGATCTCGATAAGTTATATGTATGTTAAAAATTTCACCGAAATTGGTTGACCTTCGTATGAATAGTAAACAATTAAAGATTGCAAAAATTGCAGTTTTGTCTCGATTGATCACTTTCCACCAGTAAGTGTGAAAAATTTGCAATTTTCACAATCTTTTAACGTTTGTAACTTAACTTTGCGTTAACTGATTTCGATGCAATTTTTAGCATGCATATAAGTTACCGAGATCTACAAAACGTATTTTTCAAATTTTTATTGTACCAACACATTTGGTAGGTAAAATTATCATCGGTATATTTTAACGTTGCGTCGTCGACTGAGATAAACGTGCTGAGGTTCGTCGTGGAACGCTTGCAGGTGCCGGACCACGTAATTTATTTCTTTTTATTGTTGGCGGTAGAGATGCATCGGCCAGACTGAGATGTCTCCTTTGAGATGTCGACTTTCTCGCACGTAATGTCGGTACGTTTGAACTGGCTGTTATGAAAATAGGAATAGGTATATATACTAAAATAAATCGATTCAGCACATTTTATGTTCTAACAACCAATAAATCATTCTTATACATTTTAATTGACTAAATACAAATGTGAAAAACGATTTTCGGATTTGTATTTAGTACCATAAAATATAAGAATCATCTATTGATACTGTAATTGTCTACCAGAAATTTTCATTAAAGTAGAAGCATTACCTGAATCTGAACCACGTGTTTTTGCATTCGACGCGTTCCTTGCTGTAAGAGTTTTCAATAAAATAATGTGTAGTTTATACATAATAATAATTTGAAATTTTCAAATTGAATAAAATTCGTGACTAAGAAAAATATACCTTCTGTAGGTGTATCAGGATCACTATCTGTATCATTTTCTTCATCGCTAGAAGCCTTGTCCCGTTTATGTCTTCGATGTCTTCTAAGTTTGGATGTTGAAGGCGGTGGCATTATTTCGGCGTCATCTAGCTGTGTATTCTCCGTATTCTCTGTACCCTTGAGCAGTTCTTTCAGTTTTTCCTCCAATTCTATGCAAGGTGCTTTCATATTTGGCTTCTTCTTTGTCTGCTCTATTATAGTTTGTACGGCTTTCAAAACTTGCTTATTATGAATCTTTTCTTTCAGCAGAGGTAAACTTTCAGTAAGATGTCGTATACCTAACAGACGTTAAAAAAAAAAAGATAATCTCACATGCGGCTTTCATTTCAAAGACAATCATAGCTTACTTACCCTTTGGACCAAATGGTAAAAGTGAAAGACAATATGAAAAGTCCCGCCACTGTCGTTTTGTAGTAGCTAATTTAAATCTAGCACAAATTTTATCAATTATAGAATCAATATGTTTCTCTTTTTGTAACAAAGCTAATACGTATCTGTAATTGAAAAAGGATATTATATTAAAATGGTCACACAATTATCTATCAATTTTGAATAATGATACAAACTTTATAATTTCTTGGAAGTCACATTCGCTTAGATCTAAATCTGAATCAGTTAATCGGGACAATATATCCGGCACTATATTATACAAAGCATTAGGTTTCTGCGAAAAAACTTTGAAGAACTGTCTCGCATCTTGACGAATTTGGGTGTCGTTATCAATTATACAGAGAGCTAATTCTGATATTTGGCCTCTTACACGTACCATGTCTCTCATTATAAGACTTGATAAGACACGAACGCAAGTACTACGTACTTCTACATTTTCGTCTCGCAGCCTGAAAGGTAATATTATAAAGGTATATTAGCTTATGGATAATGGAATGTTTTAAATCGGAAATTACCTGCCATATATATGTTTCATCCACGGTTCTATCAAGTTAGGAAATCTCATTGTAAGATCGCTTATTCCAATAAGAACATTCGCGCGAATGGTAGGATATGGCGAACGTTCTAATATTGTGATTAAGAGTTGTAATGACTCTTCGCAAAGGATAGAACTCACGGTCATCATCTTAGTAAGGGCAAGAGTACCAGCAGCTTGTAAATCTTCGATATTGTATTTGTCAGGATTTTGACATATATCTAATACCAACGGACTGCAAAATAAATTTCATATATAGATTTTCATAATAAAAAATATATACTTTACGTACACAAATTGTGCTAGCAATCCATCTCCAGTTACAACGTGATTTTCAAGAATATCATTTATAAGCTCCGCATCCGCATCATCTATGGCTCCTTCAACAGCTTCTTCTCCATTGTCTTCCATAATTGCACTTGTCTAAATGTAAAAGCCAGGAAATAAATTGGTTTTAAACTAAAGATAAAATAATATGTACACAGTATAAATAATAAGTAAGCAAAAAAATAATACCTCTTTAAGGCGAATCTGCTGTCTTGCACTAGTTGGAGTAGTACTATTCGATTTACGAGACCGGTTACTATTAAGAATCTCGTCTCTTTTATCTGGATCCTTTCCTTTTTTTAATTTTCGTAAAGCGTCCCGCCGCTTTAATTCTTTGTAGATTGATGTGTCCAGGTGTACCATTTGTTTGATGGCAATATGTCCAATTATATAAATCAATTTAGACAGTATATAAAATGGAACAGCTTTTTCCGTTGGATTGTTACTATCAAATTGTTCCTGATTATATATAGCTACCAGGAATTTCTGCATTAAATGATCAGGTTGGTTTGCTAACTAGAAGTTCAAAATATTTTTTAGCAAATTTCGGTACGTCAATAATGATATATTAATATGCCTAATAAAATAAATCATCTATTTACATGATAAATAGCGTTAATTGCGTCTGTTGCAAATGATACATATCCATCTTCTTCTTTGTTAGTAAAGTTGTCTGTTAGCAATGCAAGAATTTGTGTAAACATTTCATGATCATTAGGATACCTGCGAATTGTAATAACTATTTATATATATATTTGAAAATATTTATATAATTCTTCTCTTGAATTTACCTATTTACAGATTTCTCAATACTGTCACTCTTATTTTTTATCGTTAACAATGCCCTGCATGTATCTCTAGCCAAAAGAAGATCCGTTTTTGCTCGTAGTCCCAAACCTATTTTGATTAGTACTTCTACATTATCTGCTACAATATTATGGTGAGCTTGAGCTATCATTGTTATTAACATTAAAGCCGATCTGCTATCCAAAGGGTCGATATCTGGTGTTTTCATTGTAAACATTTCCCACAAAACCTGAATTAAATTGAATGCAAAACAGAATATGTACAGCATATGAAATTAAAATTGTTGTTGCATATTGTCTCATATGTAAAATTAAGTGTATTACTTGTAATTCTTCTTCACCCAGTTCCTTATTAGTACACCATGTTACGATAAGTTGACTTAAAGCTTGACTTTGACCCGGTTGAAGTGATTTCAATAAGTCAATTAAAGCTTTGACGCACGTAAGAGCAATTTGGCGACTTGACTTTTTATTTTCGTTGTTTTTCAAATATATCTGTTTATATACGACAGCCAAATTATTACGTACTGATTGATCACGGTGAAATATTTGAAACAGAGCATCACGTATACCGGCGGTAGCTCCAGCTATGCCAAACTGACATGCAATTCCAAGTAAAGCACATGCTTCAACAGCATCACCAGCTGTTGTCGAAAAAAGTAATTTTTTTGCCAGAGGAATGGCAATTTCTAATTCAGTTGCAAATTCCAGGCAATTCTAAAATAAAAGTTGTATAGAAAAAAGATAATAGGAGAAACTTTGTTGAATTAAAACTGAAAAATTTGAAGTATATACCTTCAAATAGTGTACAACTCGCCTTTGCACTTCTATTTCCTCTTTTTCCTTATTTTTATCTGTTGATTGCATATTATCTGTAACCTTATTTGTGTTATTTTCTTTATCTTCCGATTCCATAAACGTTTTTAGTAAAAGCAAGAATAGAAATTCTTCTTTTGCTTCAAAAGTCAGGTTTTTTAGTTGTGGATTTTGCTTCAATTTGATACAAATTTTCCACAATAATTTCACTGCTTCAAAAATTTTTTGTTTCAACATAAATTGCCGAACCCGTTCAAATTCTGCATCAGGAGTAATATTTTCTTCATCTTCAGCTTTGTCATCATTGTCCGTGTCATCGTCATTGTCTAAATTTGTTAAATAAAATATTGGCTTAATTATAATGAAAAAAATATAGATTAAATATTTAATGCATATACTTTGATTGTTACCGTTTTGTTTCCTTCCATTAATAACATCCTTCAATGCTTTTCTTATTTCTGGAATTAAACTATTCCACAAATCTAATCTTTGACTATCGCCGCGACTACTCTTACTAACACTTTCAGTTTGCATCTTTCTTAATTTTATTTCTTCCTTTTCTAACGATTTAGCAATTTCGTCTTTGTGTAACTATAAACATTTTCTTTATTTAATAATTTTCTCTAATTAAAAAGATAAAATTAGAAAAAAATATTATTTTTGCTTACCTTAGGAGCAAAAGGATTGGCTTGAAGTAATGCACGTAGTAGTTGCAATGCTTGCTTTCGCACATTCGCACTTTTATCTTCTAATCGTAATACTGTAACAGCTAAAAGTTTCCCTTGCCTTGCTAGTGGAATAGCTTGTTCACAACATAAATTTTGCCAAGTTTGTAATGTCTTTGATCTTACATAAGCATTACAATCTTGAATGTGATCTTGTAAATTATTAAGACATTCATTACGTAGAGTTTTTTGTTCTTCAGTAAGATCATCCCCAGTCAGTGCTTTCTGTACAACAGCTCCCAAAACAGTAATTGTACAATTTCTCATAGTGTAATGCTGTGAGAAGAATTAATGAATATTAAATCGTAAATTTATATTTGTAATCTGATTAACATAATGATATTTACTTCACTAGCTAGGTAATCCATTAATTCGTCAAGAAAAGGAATTACTACATCTGGATTAGTAACTGCAATAGTTTCAAGAAATTTAGAAATATTTCGACTGTCAGCTTCAGATGGTTCAGATTGATCAATTTCCTTCATTATTTCTTTCATTAAGCCATTACAGCCACATTCAGTAATCATATGAACAACACCAATGCCTATGTATCCTGCTAATGCTTCATAATATTTAACCATCTAAAATAATATCATGCAAATTTAATTTGTTTTTAAATCATTTTCTATTATTGAATATATGTTATATGAATGATTATTTAGTATGTACCTGTATAATTCTTACTATGCAGCTTATACCATGATTATATTTTTTAATCGACACTCCTAAAATCTTTTTAAAAGATAAACAAGTTTCAATCAAATAATACCTCAATGTAAAAGAATAAGGAAGACTTACCTCAAAAATTGTTTGTCTTACATGGTTCTGCCTTGCTTCATTACATTGTTCCAAAATTTTATAGCACACTTTAGTGAGTAATCTACAATATAAAATTACAGTTGAATTAATTTATTGCTTGTACACAATAACTATAATGCTCAATATGATCTACGAAGTTACATGATAAACGCATCCTCAACAATGGGAGGCCGCCAGAGTTTATGCAATGGTAAATGTAATAGTCTAAAAATATATTCCAATGCCTTTTCTTTACTGGTTTCCCATTCTTCTTCCATGTCGGTCTTACTCAATTTCTTTTTCTAAATGAATCACATTAAATAATTTATTTCTACAATAAAATTAAATTATGAAAATAACAAACCTTATTAGTCAGTTTATCAACTGCACCTTTACTGATTTCTTCATTTATGTAACAAATAAACCAAGAAAATAAATATACTAGCATTTTAGTAATATTCAAAAATTTTATTCTATCTTCTCCTTGTAATTCTTCTGTGTTTTCAAATATACTTTCCATGTCATGGACTAACATCTCAATGGCTTCATAAAACGATGTTTAAAATTAATAAAAATTCATAGAAATTTTTATGTATCATATGAAACAATCTTTTTTACCTTTATGAATTCTAGTAAAACCTCTTAATACAAAATTTAACTCAACTTTATTACTATGAATCATTACAGAAAAGAATTTATCAAAATGTTTTAGAATAAAATCAATTCCATCTTCTTGAAGTGCTGATCTCGTTTCTGTAAAGATGTTTTAAGTTTATTTTGAATTTGCATCGATGAAGGAGAAAATATATTATATGTAATAGAAAACAGCACTCTGTAAATACCATCTAAAGCTTGGGGAATCATCCGAATTGGAATGATGGATTCAACGAAAAATTGTCCATTCCCCCTCGATTGCAAAAGTTCATCTTTGTTTACAGGAATCACAAAGTCCACCGTCATTTTAATTAATTAGTCAATATATAATGACTTTTCGCCAAATACCATGCTTCTGTATCAGGAACTTCGAAACTTTTACTTCTTATAAATCTTGAAAACACTTTTAGGATATTAATAACGAAATGAACGGAATGTTACGCAGAACTTTCAACAGACATGGGAGCATGGGAGTATTAAATTTTTGAATTCAATAATACCAACTGACAACAATAGAGAATAACAGACAGACTGCTACTTTGGAATCACTAGTGATTCGTAATTTTTCATGAATGCCTCTGATTGGTGGAGAGCAGAGCTCTCAGGTTCCTGACCGTTTTGGAATTTCTACTCAAGATCAGTGTGTCCATTGGTGTCTAGTGTGTCAAATTATATCAGGGATTCTGTTCAGAAAGTGCTCCAAGTGGCGGAGAGGAGACCTCACAAATGGGATTGGACGAACCAAGAAAGGCAGGAGTTTAAAGGAAGGATATATTTTTTAATGTATTTTACAATACCTCTGTTAACTAAAGAATCAATATCTTTTTGTAACAAAAATAATGTACAACGAAGATTCAATAGGAACAAACATGAAATATATTCAATTTAACTATTAGGTTATGTAATAAGACCGTTCGCGTACAGTACTTGCTAATATTTTATGGAACTTACATAATCAATGATATATTTGCCATTTTGTTGTATAACCTTTTGCCATCTTTCGAGTAATTCCTTTAGTATAGAATTCTTCGTTTTTTGTATTAAAAAATTCAGATATGTGTAAGTTTGCTTCTTTTATGTGTTTGAATGATTTTCCTCGCAAAGAATTGTTCCAATTTTTCCAAATTCAAATTACGATGTATCGCCAACAGATGGCGCAGCATGTCGCTTTTTAGCGGCGGTATCACTATTCTATTAAGCGTTTATCTGTTACCGGTGTTCGATTAGGATTGATTCAATCATATATCGGCAAAGTAGATTTCCCCGATTATTCTTCCTTTTTCAAAACATTTTCTTCCGCTTTCAAATTGCCGTATTCTATGTCTTTATGACTCACGTATTCTTATAATATGTGCTTTTGTAATTTTTATAAATATTTATTTATTATACAAATTTTTTATTGAAATTTTATTATTATTTGCATCATATCGTTGCAGAAGATTCTTCCGAACATTTCCGTAACCACAGAACACTTTCTTCAGTTTCAAATCAATAATATTTTCAGTAGTTGCTTTGCAGATAATTCTATGCATAGGGGGTCGTTCAATTCAGATGTTCTACCGTTAGATGGCGGATACATTTCAATGTTCATGAAAAGCCGCATCAATACGACCATTTTGAGTTTGAAACATCAATTTTTAACCATTTGTTTCCACGAAATTCACAGTTCAAAACTTCTGTGTTTCCACATTTTATCGTCATTTATTTTTTGGTTATACAATTATTATTTTCCTATACATTTGCTTTTTCCATTATTTTTGCGGATATATTTTGTGATGTGGATATAGCAGATTCTAAGAAACAATTTATTATATGCAAAGTATTTTATTGTTAATTATTACCGTGAAAAATGACGATAATCTGTTACAACGCTTGCAATTATGTTTCAGTTGAAGGATTTCGAAAAAATAGCTTCCCGATACCTCGACATTCTCGATGGTTTGAGGATACCAATTAAAATTGGAAGATCGCAATTTACTGTATAATTATGTAGGTTTGTTGAACAATTTTTAGATTACATCGAAGAATCAATAAGTTGCGATCAATACCTCGTAGAAAATGATTTGCTTTTAAGGGGGCAACATCAAGATGATTTTAATTGGTCCTCTAGTGCCAATTTTTAAACTTCTAAGATCTTAAATGCCAGCTGAGAGATCGCATTTTATGTTGCGATAATAGCTGAAGAGAAACGATTGAATTTTACGGAATTACTTTAAGTCAATTTCAAGTTCATTTAGCACAGAAAGTGAACTGTCGAGGGCCGAAATGAACATTGCAAAATCGCACCATATTGAGCGATTTTTCATGGAAAAATGAGCAAAAGAAATAGAATAGGAGTTTTGGAGAAAATCGTGTTTTAAAAATTTGTCAGGCACACGTGATGTTGAGTAAGGAATCGATAAACGTATTTAAACATACATATAGACCGTTTCGTCGGTTTGTAAATACCAACTCACGTCATCGAAATGCACTTTTGGAACTCGATTTTCGAAAAAATGGTTAAAACACGTGAATATTTTTTACAAATATAGCAACATATAGTAGTATAATAGTAGTGTGTACGCAGATAGGTTGCACCATAATGTCGAGTCAGACTCGTGGTGAAAATTTCATATACATAATTTACTAAATATAAATGTTACTAATTTCTTCTAAGTCGAAACAGGATTTGATTCTTCTGTTATCGAAGCGTCGGAATGAAAGTGAATGCGGACATACAAGAAACAAAGATTGTTCGCTTCGTTTAGAAAAATGATTAAAGTCGAAGAATTACTAAATTACAAGGGTTTCGGTAGAAAAGAAAGGAGTTAGGTCGGGGTTAGGTAAGGGAAGAGATATAAGAAAAAGAATTGTATCCTATATATAGGTCTTAGGGGAATAAATTAAATAAATAAATATACAGGGTAAATAAATATACATAAACTATTTTGATATAAATATTTCAGCACATAAAAGTCTATAAATATGGCGATAATAATTTTGCTGCAGCTGGTAAAGTTTCGGAGTTTTAAAGGTCACCTTCACACTTTTCCCTACATCATCACATATTTCTTCGCACATTAATGCAGTTCAACATTTTCTATATGTACAATAGCGCATATAATAACTTCTATAAGTTATATATAATAGCTTCTATAAGTTATATATAATAGCTTCTATAAGTTATATATAATAGCTTCTATATAACTATAATAATTACTACTTAGAGATAAACAAAAGAAGAAGGTCTAGGAAGAATTTCCACGTATTACGTGCTGAAACCAACCTTTCTCATTCTTTGTAAAGTTAAAATGTCCCGGAGGGGTGAAATTATAATTGATTTCCTCGCATACCCACACAGAACACGGTTCGCCGTGTAATTTGAAATCCTGCGTATTCTTTCGTCCCATCTTTCAAGTCTTTGAAGTTCACTGTCTAAATCCTAGGAGGTCGAGGAGCTTAAAAAAGGAGCTTCCCTCCCTTTGACGCTGGATTTCACGCAAGGCTAAGTTATGCGAAGATGCTTCTTGTTTAAGCGTAAATTGGGTTTGCACGATGCCAAGTAAGAGCCCTCGCGCGGGGCACAAAGGTCCTCGTCCTTGAAATTAATTCGCAAAAGAGACAAAGGCGCATTCTGCTTGTCGTCGAGCATCGTTCAAGCTTCACGGTTGACGAACCGCCGCTACACGGTGAAGTAAATATTAGTCGAGTGGAATTGGGAATAATCGAACACACAGCGCGATGTAACTACCGAATTGTATCGCGATTTATGGAAATCGCGTATTCTTCGACGAAGCTTTTACTTACAACCGGACTGCTGATCTTTGTGCAAATTCCTATTTTCATAGCTTATTTTATAAAAATCGGAATTAGACGGAAATTTCCCTCGTCTACTGAAAGATTCTTCGTTGTGATAAAATTGTGAAGAAAGCAGATACCACTGAAGTTGACCTTATCGACTTCACTTGTAAATAGGCATTGCATGAATGAAATGTGTGCGTGAGCATGTCTGTGCACGCTACAGAAAAATATATACATAAAATCAGAGTGAAAAACCATAAATTCCTCGGTAAAAACTTGATCGAAAATAGCAGAGATGCTAATAATTCTTATTGATTGACACGTTTCCCTGCATTTTACAAGTTCGAACGTGTCATAAACGTATGAAGATCCGCGGTCTACTGATAACTAATATTTTATTTTCATGTAGGACTATATTTCTCGTCATCAAAAATCAATGGAACTTTAACGCTATCGTCTCTCGATGTGCAAAAGATACACACTAAGAACGAGAAATAAATCCTAATATTTCGGTTAATATACCACAAAGGAAGTATAATAATTGTCAGATGCGAGGAAACTACCCCCCTTTCTCAGTCTGTATTACTAAACTAATTGAAAAAGAAACTATCTTATTCTGTCCAATTTTAAAAACCGTATTTAACATAAATCACCTTCATCATTTCGTCGCACTAATAATACAGTGGGGGGGGGGGGGGGGCCG